AAAATGCTCTCTATCCGACTCCTTGGCTCTAAAGGAATTCCAGTCAATAAGAGGAAAGTTGAAGTCAACCATTGTGTTTGCTGCTGTCGTTTCTTGTGCCTAAGTCAATGCCAGGAGGACCATTCCAGTTTAATTTGTTTTCTTTGGAGTTTTGATATATCTGCTTCGCTTGTCTTTCCAGGTGGTTGAGATCTCATGTTTGAAGGAAGCAGTCAAAGGAGCTTTGACAGGTTGCTGGAGTGCATCTTATAGGTGGTGGCAGAGAGTGTGGATGCTTATGGTTATGAATGGGGTGCCAATTGGGTGGGCTGCTTTGAGTTTCTTAAGGTTTGGAGCTGCACTAGGATGGCAGGACTTCTGTATGAAATGAATTGATTAGGATTATATTCGCTGGAGTTCAGAAGAATGAGGGGAGAGTCTAATAGAAAACGATAAAATTCTACCATAATGAATGCAGATGGGACGCTCCCAATAATAGGGGAGTCCAGAACCAGGGTACACTGTCTAAGGATATAGGGTAAACCATTTAGGACTGAGACGAGGAGAAATTTCTTCAAGCAGAGAGTGGTGAACATATGGAATTCTCTGCTACTGAAAGCAGTTGCGGCCAAAACATTTAGTGTCTTCCAAAAGGAGTTAGATGTAGTACTTTGGGCTAAATGGATAAAAGGATAAGGGAGTAAAATAGGAGCAGTATCTGTACATCACTCCACCTGGAATCTATTCGCAGTAGGTTTTTCACAGGCCTATCTGCCTTGTCTGACCATCGCATGAATTATGTTCGTAAGCAATCTCCTGGCTTCCTCCATCATCACCTTCCCCTTCATTATCAGAAGATATCTCTTTATCTCTAAAGATGTCCTCTTTTTGTTGAATGAGGTTGTGACGGGTACAGCGTTATGTACTGGTGCGATTATTTCTTCTGGTGTAGGAAAATTTCTAACCAACTGGTCCACAGATTCTGTTACACAGCTCAGGAGCAGGTGGGACATGAACCAGGTTTCCTGATTCAGAAGTTAGGGCATTACAACCCCACCACAAGAGCCCCTATTCTTTCTGGTATATACTGCAGTGCACCAGCTCAGTGGTCTAATCATCTGATGTTCATTTTGAGCAGTCCTATCACCACTTCAATGCTGACCTTTGTGGAAGCATGTACAATGTTATACCTCTCTTTAGCAGAAGTCTGGGGACTTCAAGGCATAGTCTTCATCTTCCAGTAGCCAGCTGGAACTGATCAGCATTAAAGACTACAGCCACTTGTGCCCTCCAGAATGTAGAAGTCTTGAGAATTCCCTGGATATTGTGCAGAAACTGGGATATTTGGGTGGTTTGGGCACATATTAGTTGTATATTGCAGAAGTTCTGTTGATAAAAACAACTGCAATTCCCAAGGTGTTCTAATGGCAGCAATAGCAAGCTATTGTTTACTGCACTTGTGGGAAACACCACTGCCATGGTCTCTGCATCCATGGGAGCCCTCACAAAATTCTGGCTGTTCAGAGGAGAGCATCAGTGACCTTCATATACACTTGAGGCTGGCAGTGATTTCATGGAGGTCCCCAGAGTAGCCTGGGACAAACCACAAGTTCAGGGCTGTGGATAGCTTCAAGACGACAGGCATAGGACTGCCTCCGAGTTCCTGGAGCTGCATGTCCTTATCCTGCAGCTGCCAAAGGTAGAACATAACCCCCTGAAATATTCTGAGGCACTATCTGCATCGTATTGGCCAGTGGAGGTGGCTGCAACATCATGCAGATTCTGTTTCTGACCAATGCTCATTGTCATTGTGGGTCCTGCTTGTGCCTCTGCAGGCTCAATCTGTGTCTGCTGTTGCTGCTCACTTATCCTTCTGCACTATTCCCTTCTCATCTGTACCATGACCAGGGGTGCAGGGATGTTCTATAGTACTGTCAGTTTTTGGAGATCTGCAAATACAGTTGATTCATCCATACAGGTATAATTTTCTTTGAGTTGTGTCCTCCAAACCTGCTCCATGATAGCACTTTAAGCCCTTCACTTAGTATTTTCCTCTCCTGGCTACCTTCTTACCCAAAACGTAGATCATGATGAGGTCCATCCCCGTGATCCCACAGGAAAACTACTTGCAGCAAAACAACTACATGCACGGACACAATGGGAAAGGCTGGGATACTTGAAGCATGTCCATGCATCGTCCTGTACACAATAGTCATTCCCTTCAGCAAGGATGCAACACAACTGCTTTGGTCTTTACAGATCTGCTGCCAACACCATCCTATCCTTATCTGTTACAAGCTTTCAGCTGGGAAACTAATAACTCCAGGCATGGAGAATGTTGCCCTATGCCACATGGGCTTCTTAACACTTATATAAGTGTGTCTTTTTCACGCTGGTAGGATCTCATAAGTGGTTTGTCACAGGGGTCAGTGCTTGGGGTTCAACTCTTGGATGAAAGGATCCAAGATAGTGTTGCTAAATTTGCTGATGACACAAACAGAAAGGAAAGTGAGTTGTGAAAAGGACAAAGGAAGCCTACAAAAGGGATGAGATAGGTTAAGTGAGTGGGCAAATACGTGGCAAATGGAGTACTATTCCCATTTTGACAGAAAGAATAAAGAAGAAGCCTATTATGTAAATGATGAGAGGTTGCAGAGCTCTGAGATGCAGAAAGACCTGGGTGCCCATGTGCATGAATCATAGATTAGTTTGTAGGTACAGCAAGTAATCAGGAAAACTAACAATGTTATGGCTTATTGCGAGGGGATTTAAATGTAAGAGTAGGGAGGTTATGCTTCAGTTATACAGAGCCTTAGTGAGACTGCATTTGGAGTACTATGTATGGTACTGGTCACTGTTTTTACTGTGGAATATAATGCGTTGGAAGCAGTTCAGAGAAGGTTGACTAGACTAATAGGTGAAATGAGCAGATTGCCTTATGTGGAAAGGCTAGGCCTGTATCCTCTGGAGCTTACAAGAGTCAGAGGTAAGAGGTAACTTAACGAATCACATAAAAGAAGACTTGACCACACAGATGTTGAAAGGATGTTTCCTCTTGTGGGAGAATCTACAATTAAGGGTCACGGTTTAAAAATAAGGGATGGCCATTTAAAACCAAGATGAGGAATTACTTTCTCTCTCAGAGGGTTGAGTGCCTTTGGAATTCCCTTCCTCAAAAGGCGGTGAGCGCAAAATCATTGAATATTTTTAAGGCAGAGGTACATAGATTCTTGATTACCAAGGGGATGAAAAAATATTGGGATATGCAGGAATGTAGAGTTGAAGTTAAAATCAGATCAACAACATTCTTACTGAATGGTGGAGCAAGGTGAAAGAGCCTAGTGACGTACGCTTGTTCATGTATATCTCTCCCTTCCTTCATAACCCATACTTCAGATATCACAAGATGCCAATCAACCACAATGTACTGTCACTACTGAAATGCAATGCCATGTGATCTGGAGCAATGCTGGTTCATTAGCTGAACATGGCTCTTTATCCACTGGACTCAATAAGATATCCCTTCAGTCAGATAAACATTCTTAGCAATGAACTTGGCCCATGTAAAAATTGTTTGCCTACTTCCTGTATTGTTTATTTACCAGCACCTGAGGCTTCCTTGGGAGAATATTGAAAACTCATATTTCCCATATCTCTCTCCTTCTACCCTAAATTATCGTTCACCCACACCACCTTGTGATTCCTGTTGCCATTACTCTGGAATCTCCCTACATTTCCACTGACCCCATCCATTGTGCCCAAGTGCTAAGCTAAAAGTCCCAATCCCCTGCTGATGTTAAACTCTCCTATTCTCTCGGTGACCGGCACACTCATTTTTTCATGACCCGCTCTAAGATTATCCACCTCCCCCTGTCCATGACCATACAATTCCCACTGTTCATCCAGCTCCTTCCCCATGATTGCTGACTATACTGGCTGTCACTCAGTACCACCATTCACATCACCAGGCATTAACGTTTGACAGCGCCAACCATGACTATGACAGTCAGCTCTCTGCAATATACAACCTGCCTGAACAACTCCAGGCAGATCTGGAATGTGCAGGCATGTCTACTGTTCTACCCTTGGACAGGCAATACTCCATCCTTGCCTGCCCATTGCTCCTCCTCATCCTACTGATCCTCCTTCAGACTGGATTTGTCATTTTCATTCCACTTGCAGTACCAACACTACAATTCAAACGTTAACCTTGACTTAAACCTATCACAAGACAGACAAAGCGGAAAGTACTCACTCTGAAGTCCGAGGAGAAGTGAAGCTCATGACGTGTAAGCCATTTAGAAACAGATAGTCAAGTTTGTGAAGGCACATATTTCACAATTGGGTAGAACTTAATTGGCAGAGGAAGTTATTACTGGCAAGTTGTGTTTTTAATGAGATGCAAATGCATGCAGATAGGCTTCCTGATATCTGCAGTCTGGAAGGTCGATATGCTTTCTAAAGGTTAAAGAAAGTCATTGCAAAGGTTTACCCTGCATAAGCTTCTGAATTTTCAACTCTCACCTAATTAAGCACTTCTACCATTCTTCATTCCTTCTTTAGGACCAGAGAATTCTGCCTGGTCTCACTGGATTTGACATTTACACACTAGTACACACACATATTGACCTGTTTAACTTTTCAATCAATGAATTTGTTCCAAATCACCTCTCTCCTTGAATTTGCCTTTTTGTAGCCTACAACCTTATCATGGACTCTAATCTCAATGTTCTTCTATTGAATCTCGCTGCATTGCAGTTGTGATATTGCTCCACTTCTTTTTGCAAGTTTCAGTTCTCTGTCTAAATTTCTGTTACGTTCCAGTATGGCAACAAACACTTTACCAACACATCCATCCAACAGTCTAAAAAATTTGAGGCATTATGATTGAGAATATTTGAACTTAAGGATGGATAGGGCAAAGATTGAAACATCATTTCTAAGAGAGAAAAGGAAAGGCTAAAGTGGAACTTCAGTCAATGGCTTGAATGGCCTCCACGTCTGCCACAAAACTCACTCACCCACAGTCTCGCTGTCTCTTCTCAATAAATTTCATAACCTATACCAGACAGAGTGAAAAGGAATAACATCAATAACAAAACACACAAATGTTTTATAAAATAACCCCTTCAAATTTCAATGCCATGGTACAGTAAATTCAACAACTAGAACATTATCTAGTTATGGGAATAACTCGGTGACACGAAGGCACGGAGAGGGAGCAGAGCCATAATGGATCAGACAGAAGAAGCACGGCTGTAGATTCTAAAATGAGCACTCTCCCTCCACCCCTCCCCCACAACCAATAAACTCTCACCTGATCAAACCGTGTTGCGAACAGGTTTAAAGCTGTTACGATGCCACCATTGGGTCCAAGACCATACCTGGAGCTGCAGTTCAGGGAAATAAATCAGCTGGCAGACCGACAGCAGACAGGCTGAGATCTCGCACAGATAGAAATGTAGAAAATAACAGCATGTCTAGAACTTGGGCCCTTCGAGCCTGCTCAATCATTCAATACAATCATGGCTGAATCATCCAACAGAGTACCGTGTTCCCATTTTCTCCCCACATCTTTTGATGCGTTTAGCCCCAAGAACTATATCAGTTTCCTTCTTGAAAACATTCTATGTCTTGGCCTCACCTGTGGCAGACAATTCTAGAGGCTCACCACTCTCTGGGTGAAGAAATTTCTTCTCATCTCAGTGTTAAATGATCTCCTCACTATCCTTAGACCCTGGTTTTGGACTTTCCTGACATTGCGAACATCCTTCCTGCATCTACCCTGTCTAGTCTTTTAAGAGGTTTATAGGTTTCCATGAGATCCCTCCTCATTCTACTAAACTTCAGTGAACATAGTCCCAGCTGATCCAGTTGCTCTTCAGGCATCATCCCAGGAATCAATCAGACAAACCTTTGCTTATAGCAGAACATCCTTCCTCAGGAAAGGAGAGCAAACTTGCACGCAATACTCCAGATGTGGTCTCACTGAGGTCCTGTACAATGTACTGACATGTCCCTGCTCCTGTACTCAAATCCACTAGCTACGATGGCCAACATACCACCTGCTTTATTCACTGCCTGTTGCATGCTTACTTTCAGAGATTGGTGTCCAAGAACACCTCAGCCTCATTGCACCTCTTCCTTTCCCAATCCATTACTATTCAAATAATCTGCCTTCTTGCTTTTGTTACCAAAGTGGATAACTTCACATTTACCCACATTATACTTCAGCAGTTATAAGAACAAAGAACAAAGAAAATTACAGCACAGGAACAGGCCCTTCTGCCCTCCAAGCCTGCACCGATCCAGATCCTCTATCTAAACCTGTCGCCTATTTTCCAAGGATCTGTATCCCTCTGCTCCCTGCCCATTCATGGATCTGTCTAGAGACATCTTAAATGACGCTGTCGTCCCTGCCTCTACCACCACCGCTGGCAACGTGTTCCAGGCACCCACCACCCTCTGTGTAAAGAACTTTCCACGCATATCTCCCTTAAACTTTTCCCCTCTCACCTTGAAATCGTGACCCCTAGTAATTGAGTCCCCCACTCTGGGAAAAAGCTTCTTGCTATCCACCCTGTCTATACCTCTCATGATTTTGTAGACTTTAATCAGGTCCCCCTTCAACCTCCGTCTTTCTAATGTAAATAATCCTAACCTACTCAACTTCTCTTCATAGCTAGAGCCCTCCATACCAGGCAACATCCTGGTGAACCTCCTCTGCACCCTCTCCAAAGCATCCACATCCTTTTGGTAATGTGGCGACCAGAACTGTACGCAGTATTCCAAATGTGGTCGAACCAAAGTCCTATACAACTGTAACATGACCTGTCAACTCTTGTACTCAATGCCCCGTCCAATGAATGAAAGCATGCCGTATGCCTTCTTGACCACTCTATCGACCTGCGTTGCCACCTTCAGGGTACAATGGACCTGAACACCCAGATCTCTCTGTGCATCAATTTTCCCCAGGGCGTTTCCATTTACCGTATAGTTCGCACTTGCCCATTTACATAGAAGAGGATAACCAAAGCACTGAAGTTCACTTTTTCAGGGATAAAATCAGAAGGTGAGAGCAGTTATTAAAGCATCCAGCATTCTTGGTTTTGTTAACAGATGTATACAGTACAAGAGCAAGGAGGTTATGTTGTACTTGCCAAAGACCTTGGCTGCAGTATTGTATGCAGTTCTGAACACATTGTAGGAAGGATGTGAAAACATTGGAGCAAGTGCAGCAGAGACTGGTTTCAGGAATAATAAACTTTAGCTGGGAGGGGAGATCAGAAAGGTTGGGACTGTTTGGGCCAAGAGGAAATCTAATAGAAGTTTTCAAAATAATGTGGGAGCTGTAGAGAGTACATGGGGAGAAACTGTTCCTACTTGTAAAGGATCAAGATATAAAGGGGTTTGCAAAAAAACTAAGAGCAATGTAGGAAAGAACTTATTCACACAGTGAGTTTTTAGGGTCTGGAATGCACTCTTTGGAAGTATGGTGGTGGTCACAGAGTCATAGAGCTGTACAGCACGGACACAGACCCTTCGGCCCAACTCATCCATGCCCACCAGATATCCTAAATTAATCTAGTTCCATTTGCCAGACTTTGGCCCATATCCCTCTAAACCCTTCCTATTCATGTACCCATCCAGATGCCTTTTAAATGTTGTAATTATGCCAGCCTCCACCACTTCCTCTGGCAGCTCATTCCATACACACACTACCCTCTGTGTGAAAAAGTTGCCTCTTAGGTCCCTTTTAAATATTTCCCCTTTCACCTTAAACCTATGCCCTTTAGTTTTCGACTCCCCTACCCTGGGGGAAAAGACCTTAGCTATTCACCCTATCCATGCCCCTCATGATTTTATTAACTTCTATAAGGTCATCCCTCAGCCTCCAACACTCCAGGGAAAATAGCCCCAGCCTATTCAGCCTTTCCCTATAACTCAAACCCTCCAACCCTGACAACATGCTTGTAAATCTTTCCTGACCCCTTTCAAGTTTAACAACATCTTTCCTATAGCAGGCAGATCAGAATTGAATGCAGTAGTGGCCTAACCAATGCCCCGTACAGCCACAACATGACATCCCAACTCCTATACTCAATGCACTGAGATAACGTCAACTGAGGCATTCAAGAGGGAATTAAATGATTAATTAAATTGAAAAATGTTTAGGGTTTTTGGGGTAAAGACAGGAGAAAGACACAAAGCTATAATGCTCACTTGGACAGCGCGTGCAGTCACAATGGGTCAAATGGCCTTATTCTGTGAGCCCTAGTTAGATCACAGTTAGAGCGAGTGATGCAGAGCTACCGCCCAGTTAGACCACACAGTGGTCTGAATCGTGATATACTTATATCAGAACAGAGACTTTACTTATCAGAAAGGTTAACAGGCTAGGAGTGTTTTCTCCAGAAAGGAAAAGACTGATGGGTGACTTGATACAGACCTTTGATATTATTACATAATTCATTACAGTAGGCAAAAAGATAATGTTCCCACTCATGGGAGAGATGAATAATTCACTTATAAACTCAACAGAGAATTCTGTAAAGCCCCTTCATTTTGAGGTAAAAATGTAGAAGACACTTCCACAAGTGTTGAAAGAGAAGCTAGATAAGCATGAGATACAAAGAAATAGAAAAACATATTAAAGAGGAGTTTGGAGTTCATGTTGTGGCAGTACAGGACATTGGTTAGGCCACTTTTGGAATACTGCATTTAATTCTGGTCCCCCTGCTTTAGGAAGGATGTTGTTAAACTTGAGAGGCTTCAGAAAAGATGTACAAGAATGTTGCCGGAGTTGGAGGGTTTGAGCGATAGGGAGGGGCTATTTTCTCTGGAGTGCTGGAGACTGAGGGGTGATGTTGTAGAAGTTTATAAAATCATGAAAGGCTTGGATAGGGTGAATAGTCAAGATCTTTTTCCCAGGGTAGCGGAGTCCAAAACTAGAAGGTATAGGTTTAAAGTGAGAGGGGAAAGATTTAAAAGGGATCTGAAAGGCAGCATTTTCATACAGAGGTTGGTGCATGTATGGAACAAGCTGCCAGAGGTTGAGTCTGGTACAATTACAACATTTAAAAAGGCATCTGGATGGGTATATGAAGAGGAAGGGTTTAGAGGGATATGGGCCAAATGCTGGCAAATGGGACTAGATTAATTTAGGATATCTGGTCGACATGAACGAGTTGGACCGAAGATTTGTTTCCGTGCTGTACAGCTCTATAACATAAGACTTAGATTAGACAAAAAGGTGCAGGAGGAAGCTCTTATAAAACATAAACACCAGTATGGGCCTGTTCAGCTGAATGGCCTGTTTCTGCACATAAGTAGCACATTCGTCTTTTTCACATATCACCAGTCACCAACATGCTTCACAGACAACAAGGTGCAGAGCTGGATGAACACAGCGGGCCAAGCAGTAACATAGGAGCAGAAAGGCTGATGTTTCGGGCTTAGACCCTTCATCAGAAATGGGGGATGGGAAGGGGGTTCTGAAATAAATAGGGAGAGAGTGGGAGGCAGATAGAAGATGGATAGAGGAGAGGATAGGTGGAGAGGAAACAAACAGGTCGAAGAGGCGGGGATGGAGCCAGTAAAGGTGAGTGTAGGTGGGGAGTTAGGGAGGGGATAGGTCAGTCCAGGGAGGACGGACAGGTCAAGGGGGCGGATGAGGTTAATAGGTAGGAGGAGGGGATAGGTGGGAAGAAGAACAGGTTAGGGAGGCGGGGACGAGCTGGACTGGTTTTGGGATGCGGTGGGGGGGGGTTGATTTTGAAGCTTGTGAAATCCACATTGATACCATTGGGCTGCAGGGTTCCCAAGCGGAATACGAGTTGCTGTTCCTGCAACCTTCGGGTGGCATCGTTGTGGCACTGCAGGAGGCCCAGGATGGACATGTCGTCTGAGGAATGGGAGGGGGAGTTGAAATGGTTCGCGACTGGGAGGAGCAGTTGTTTATCGCGAACCGAGCGTAGGTGTTCTGCAAAGCGGTCCCCGAGCCTCCGCTTGGTTTCCCCGATGTAGAGGAGGCCACAACGGGTACAGCGGATGCAGTATACCACATTGGCAGATGTGCAGGTGAACATCTGCTTGATGTGGAAAGTCTTCTTGGGGCCTGGGATGGGGGTGAGGGAGGAGGTATGGGGGCAGATGTAGCACTTCCTGCGGTTGCAGGGAAAAGTGCCGGGTGTGGTGGGGCTGGAGGTGAGTGTGGAGCGGACAAAGGAGTCACGGAGAGAGTGGTCCCTCCGGAAAGCAGATAAGGGTGGGGAGGGAAAGATGTCTTTGGTGGTGGGGTCGGATTGCAGATGGCGGAAGTGTCGGAGGATGATGCGTTGGATCCGGAGGTTGGTGGGGTGGTACGTGAGGACGAGGGGGATTCTTTTTTGGTTCTTATTGCGTGGAGGGGGTGTGAGGAATGTGTTGCGGGAAATGTGGGAGACACAGTTGAGGGCGTTCTCGACCACTGAGCGGGGGGAGGTTACGGTCCTTGAAAAAGGAGGACAACTGAGATGTACGGGAGTGGAATGCCTCATCCTGGGAGCAGATGCGGCGGAGGCGAAGGAATTGGGAATAGGGGATGGCATTTTTGCAGGAAGGGCACCTCCTCCTACCGCCCCCTTGATCATGACCCCACCCCCAAGCCCCAAACCATCCACAACCTCATCACCTCAGGTGACCTCCCACCCACGGCCTCCAACCTCATCGTTCCCCAGCCCCGCACTGCCCACATGTATCTCCTTCCCAAAATCCACAAACCTGAATGCCCTGGTCGACCCATTGTCTCCGCCTGCTCCTGCCCCACCGAACTTATCTCCAACTATCTGGACTCCATTTTCTCCCCCTTGGTCCAGGAACTCCCTAAATATGTCCGTGACACCACCCATGCCCTCCACCTCCTCCAGAACTTCCAATTCCCCGGTCCCCAACACCTCATCTTTACCATGGACGTCCAGTCCCTCGACACCTGCATTCCCCATACAGATGGCCTAAAGGCCCTCCGCTTCTTCCTGTCCCGCAGGCCCGACCAGTCCCCCTCCACTGACGCCCTCATCCGCTTAGCCAAACTCGTCCTCACTCTCAACAACTTCTCTTTCAATTCCTCCCACTTCCTACAGAGAAAGGGGGTGGCCGTGGATACCCGCATGGGCATAAGCTACGCCTGCCTCTTTGTAGGTTACGTGGAACAATCCCTCTTCCGTACCTACACTGGCCCTAAACCCCACCTCTTCCTCCGTTACATTGATGACTGTATTGGCGCCGCCTTGTGCTCCCACGAGGAGCTTGAACAGTTCATCCACTTCACCAACACCTTCCACCCCAACCTTAAGTTTACCTGGACCATCTCTAATACCTCTCTCTCCTTCCTGGACCTCTCTGTCTCCATCTCGGGCAACCACCTAGAAACCGATATTCATTTCAAGCCCACCGACTCCCATAGCTACCTAGAATACTCCTCCTCCCACCCACCTTCCTGCAAAAATGCCATCCCCTATTCCCAATTCCTTCGCCTCCACCGCATCTGCTCCCAGGATGAGGCATTCCACTCCCGTACATCTCAGTTGTCCTCCTTTTTCAAGGACCGTAACTTCCCCCCACTCAGTGGTCGAGAACGCCCTCAACTGTGTCTCCCACATTTCCCGCAACTCATTCCTCACACCCTGTCCACGCAATAAGAACCAAAAAAGAATCCCCCTCGTCCTCACGTACCACCCCACCAACCTCCGGATCCAACGCATCATCCTCCGACACTTCCGCCATCTGCAATCCGACCCCACCACCAAAGACATCTTTCCCTCCCCACCCTTATCTGCTTTCCGGAGGGACCACTCTCTCCGTGACTCCTTTGTCCGCTCCACACTCACCTCCAGCCCCACCACACCCGGCACTTTTCCCTGCAACCGCAGGAAGTGCTACACCTGTCTCCATACCTCCTCCCTCACCCCCATCCCAGGCCCCAAGAAGACTTTCCACATCAAGCAGATGTTCACCTGCACATCTGCCAATGTGGTATACTGCATCCGCTGTACCCGTTGTGGCCTCCTCTACATCGGGGAAACCAAGCGGAGGCTCGGGGACCGCTTTGCAGAACACCTACGCTCGGTTCGCAATAAACAACTGCACCTCCCAGTCGCGAACCATTTCAACTCCCCCTCCCATTTCTCAGACGACATGTCCATCCTGGGCCTCCTGCAGTGCCACAACGATGCCACCCGAAGGTTGCAGGAACAGCAACTCGTATTCCGCTTGGGAACCCTGCAGCCCAATGGTATCAATGTGGATTTCACAAGCTTCAAAATCTCCCCTCCCCCTACCGCATCCCAAAACCAGTCCAGCTCGTCCCCGCCTCCCTAACCTGTTCTTCTTCCCACCTATCCCCTCTTCCCACCACAAGCCGCACCCCCATCTCCTACCTACTAACCTCATCCGCCCCCTTGACCTGTCCGTCCTCCCTGGACTGACCTATCCCCTCCCTAACTCCCCACCTACACTCACCTTTACTGGCTCCATCCCCGCCTCTTCGACCTGTTTGTTTCCTCTCCACCTATCCTCTCCTCTATCCATCTTCTATCCGCCTCCCACTCTCTCCCTATTTATTTCAGAACCCCCTTCCCCTTCCCCTCCCCCATTTCTGATGAAGGGTCTAGGCCCGAAACGTCAGCCTTTCTGCTCGGCCTGCTGTGTTCATCCAGCTCTGCACCTTGTTGTCTTGGATTCTCCAGTATCTGCAGTTCCTACTATCTCTGCACCAACATGCTTCATACGACCTGTTTATATGTCTATCACCCAGCCCACTCCATGAAAAGGATACTGCTTCATCACTTCCTTGTAGTTTACAGTGTCCCGAATATCTGCAAAACAGAGCTCTATCAGACCATGGTGCATAGCTCCTAAAGTCCTGGCCCCACTGAAAATGAGTACACAGGCCAGTCCTCACGCGAGACCCTTGCACCAGCCTAATTCTGCAACCCCTCCCACACCCTGATTTCTACTTGCACAGCTTCTACACCCCAGCCCGATCAGAAACCTGCTCCTGATTCAAGGCCCTTACCTATATTGGCTGGGAAAGGAATCTCATGTACTGCTGGGTCCAGGTTTATCAGGTAAGGTGGAGTTCCCTTACTGTGGAGATGGCTGGTCAGTCTCTGTAGGATGGAAAGATGAGGAAAACGAATCACATGGTGTCCATTAGATGATGCACAAACTGCAGCCACACACCCATCCTCCATGTCTCAGTCCCCTTATCCTCTTTCTCACCCTGTCCTCATTAATCGTTGATCTCTTTACCTCCATCCCCATTTCTCTCTGCTCATATCTACCCCTTAGCCCCCATTCACTTTCACTCACCACTTCCCACATCCTCACATGCCCCAACTGTAACAGACCAATTGTACAAAGATTTAGTGAGACCACACTAGGAGTACTATGTACAGTCTGTGTCTCCTTAACTTGAGGAAGCATATTGCTATGAATATGTTTCATTTTTAATACTTCTGAGAGGACTTCAATTTTAAAGGATTGTGGAAAACTTGATTTATTTCACATTTTCTGGAAAGATCTAGGGTGGTTTCTTTAATTAGTCACTGCGGACATTGGAGACTTTGTTTTAAACCACGCTTCATGTAAATGGCCCCACGGGTGCTAAATGATTGCTATGCTGTTGACTCTGCTGGGACTGACTGAACAATGACCAATGGAAAATGCTCTGGTATTGGGAAGTAGTAGGGACAAGAAGTCCGTGAGGATGGGCTGCCCCTTTGATCTCACTCATTGTTGAAGAGGAAACTCTTGTTCAGTTCAGGGTGAAACCTATTTGTTCTTCTCAATATCATATTCCCGGAGCAAGCTGTGTCTGAAATATTGCAGAGACAATCATATGTAATTAGTTACAACTACAACGGCCAGATCACCAGAGCAGTCTCCAGAACATTCTATTCTTTGTCTTTTGGCCTTTAAGAATAACCAATTGAAAGTGTTTTTCCAGATAGCCAATCTCTGCAAAGTTATCAGTTCTTTTTCCTCTATATCTTAAGACTGCCATGTTTTGGGGATATACTCCTATATTATGGATTGCACATTATTCAATAAAGGTGCAAGAATTGGTTAGCTTTATATTGAGCCATGGAGTAGAGTAGTCATAAACTCTACCAGCCTTGGTCACAACAAAATAACAGTGTCACGATAGGAGTACAGCAATGTCTTTCTCTAGCCCCACAATCATTCACCCCTCACGTTGTCAATGTGCTTGTTATAAATACAGAGAATACTGAAGAAACTCAACAGGTCTGGCAGCATCCTTGGAGAAAGAAATAGTTAATGTGCGTCAGATTTTTCAGATTTCCAGCGTGTATAGTATTTTTCTTTTATTCAAATGTAATTGTCTTACCCAGCGCCCAATATTGCCAATCTTATGTTTCTCTATATTATACTTGGAATAAAATGATTCATAAATCAGGTTTAATAAATTTAAAACTATTAATTAGAAACAATTTTCCACAACAATGCAGAATTGATTAATTTACTATAATAGAAATCCCAAACCTTATTCAACAACTCACAACCAGGCATCCATTCAATGAGGAGGAGGACAAACGATTTCTCTCCGAAGAGGTTCACTGAGAAAAAAACCTTTTGGCTAATGTGTCTTAGTTCTTGAAGGCAAAGGATAAGGTTTGAAATATTCAGTTGGTTGAATATCTGGCATTCTGAAACATAGTCAGGAATCATCAACATGGGCTGCTGTCTCCGGGATCTTTGCAAACTCAAGTTGCTTAGGAAGTATAAATAAGGATTCTCCAGGTTTCCCTTAAAGACGATAATTGGGTTTCATACTAGATGCATTATAAAGGTACTTCAGGCACAGTTCATACAAACATACAAATTCAGTCCATCTAGTCTCCTCCATCATTCAACATGATCATGGCTGTTTGGTTTGTATTATAAAATCCACATTCCAATCGCCCTCCACCACATTGAGAGCCAGGGACACAAAGTCACACAAGCTCCAAAAAAAAAACTCTCAATCAAAAGAGCTCCCCTAACTTTAAAACAATGGCATCTAGTTCTGGACTGACTCACACCAGAAATCATCGTTTCCATATCCACCTTGTCATGTCATTCAGGATCTATTATGTTCTGATCATGTTACCGCTGTCAACCACCTCTCCCCCATCCTCTCCCCACCCACTTCTAAACTCCAGTGGAACGAAATCCAGTCTGTACAATCTTACCTCATTTCAGGTATCAAATCTAGTACATCTCCACTGAACCACTTTCAACACATTTACATAACTCCTCCCACCGTCCCCTGTCCTCTCCCATATTCCTCCCCATATACACAAAATATTCCCACCATCTGCTACAAACACAGAACACTGGAGAACTCAGCAGACCTGGCAGCTTCTGTGAACAGAGAAACAGAATCAACTATTTGAGTCCAATATAACTCTTCTTCGGAACTAACATTATAGTTGCTGGCAGACTTGCTGAGTTGATCCAGCATCCAGTGTTTGTTTCAGACTTCCACCACCTGCAGCATTTTGTTTTCCTTGCACCATCTGGTGTCTGGTGTGTGAGGCCCCTGACCTACCGCCTCCTACTACTCCCTCTCAACTGAGTATTGTGTGGAATTTTGGTCTGTTAGTCCGAGGAACAAAATTCTTGCTAATGAGAGAGTGCAGCATAGGTTCACCAGACTGATTCCCGGAATGGCAGGACTGACATATGAAGACAGACTGGATCAACTGGAATTGGACTCATTGGAATTTACAAGAATGAGGGGGAATGCTCAGCATGATCTCTACAGGTTGGGTGAGTGGGCAAATCAATGGCAGATACTGTATAATTTGGAAAAATGTGAGGTTATTCACTTCAGAGGCAAAAACAAGAAAGCAGATTACTACCTGAATAGCTGTAAATTGGGGGAGGGGATGTGCAGCAGAGCCTGGGTGTCCTTGTGCACCAGTCACTGAAGGTAAGCGGGCAACTGTAGTAGGCAGTAAAGAAGGCAAATGTTGGCCTTCATTGCGAGAGGTTTTGAGTACAGGAGCAGGGATGTGTTGTTGCAGTTGTACAGGGCCTTGTTGTGATAACACCTGGAATATTGTGTGCAATTTGGTCTCCCTTTCTGAGGAAGGATGCTTTGCTCTCGAGGGAATGCAGCGAAGGTTTACCAGGATAATTCCAGGGATGGCGGGTCTGACGTACGAGGAGAGATTGACTAGGTTGGAACTGTTTTTGCTAGAGTTCAGACGAATGAGGGAGGATCTCATAGATACTTATAAAATTCCAACAGGACTGGACAGGGTAGATGCAAGGAGGATGTTCCCGATGGTGGGTGTGTCCAAAACCTGGGGTCACAGTATAAGGATTCAGGATGGACGGTTTAGCACAGAGATGAGGAGACATTTCTTCACCCAAAGAGTGGTGAGCCTGTGGAATTCATTACCACTGGAAGTAGTTGATGCCAAAACATTGAATGCATTCAAGAGGCGGGTAGATATAGCACTTGGGGTGAATGGGATCAAAGGTCATGGGGAGGAAACAGGCTATTGAGTTGGACGATCAGCCGTCAACGCGATGAATGGTCGAGCAGGCTCGAAGGGCAGGATGGCCTCTGCCTGCTCCTATCTTCTATGTTTCTATGAATCTCATAGAAACACATAAAATTCTGATGGGACTGGTCAAACTAGATGTGGGAAAAATGTTCCTAATGTTGCAGAAGTCCAGAACTAGGAGTCACAGTCTAAGAATATGGGATCAGCCAGTCAGGACTGAGATGAGGAATAATTACTTCACTCAGAGAGTTGCGAACTTGTGGGATTCTCCCCCACAGGGAGCTGTTGGGGCCAGTTCATCAGATAGATTCAAGGCGGATGTGGCCCTTGCGGCTAAATGGATCAAGGTGTATGGAGACAGAGGGGAGGCGATACTGAGATTGCACGATGAACCACAATCACATTGAATGGAGGTGATGGGCCGAATGGCCTACTCCTACACCTATTTTCTACGTATCCCAGTCAGAGATACCTGAACAAACGTGGTTTTCCCCGAGCCCGCCATGCCCAGTACGATCAGGCAGACGGCACCGGGTTGTTGTTGTTGTTGTTGCTGTTGCTGCTGCTGGAGACGCCGCCCAGGCTCAGGCTCCGGCTCCGGTCCCGGGCTCACTTCTCGACTCACGTCCGCCCCCGCCGCCGCCATTTCGATCCTGACGTCATCAACTCGCGACGAAACGGTGCAACCATAGACGTCATCGACGATGGGAGCAGTGAACCTGGCCACAGCAGGAGGGGGAGAGGGAGACCACACCCACAGGGAGGCGGGGACACGGGGAAGACCACACCCACAGGTTTGGGGGGAAGGGGGAAGACCACACCCACAAGGAGGCGGGGACACAGGGAGACCACACCCACAGGGAGGCGGGGAAACAGGGAGACCACACCGCACCCACAGGGAGGCGGAGGCGGAAGGAGACCACACCCACAGGGAGGTGGAGCCGGAGGGAGACCACACCTCCCTGGGGCAGCCGGGGGAAAGAGAGATATCAGAAGGTGGACCATAAGACACAGGAGAAGAATTAGGCCATTCAGCCCATTGAGTCGGTGTAGAGCTGGATGAACACAGCAGGCCAAGCAGCATCATAGGAGCAGAGAGGCTGACGTTTCGGGCCTAGACCCTTCATCAGAAAAGGGGGAGGGGAAGGGGGTTCTGAAATAAATAGGGAGAGAGTGGGAGG